AAACTTGAAATTAGCTAATTAAAATCTAAATATCCAACAACACAAATAAATTAAACGAAGAAGTTGACTTAAATTTAGAATTTTAGATAGTTAAATCAAATTTGTCTCGAATTCTCGATTAAAATGTTGATTTGTGGTTGGGTTGTGTGGATTGTGGGCTTTTAAAATGAAGAATGAGCTTAATTTATGGGTTATTTAGTCAAAACTCACTAACTCAAGATGAGAAGCCCAAAAGGAAATTGGCTAAAAGTCCAGCTGCCAAACAAAAGGTAAAATCGAGATTTTACCTGATTTCATCTGATTTTACGATAAAATCTAGATTTTACCATGAAATCCCCAGATTTTATGAATTTCATATTTTAGTATAGATTTTACATGAAATGTCTTGCTGAAATCGTAAAATCGTAAGATTTTAAGATTTAAATCTAGATTTTGAGATTTAAATCTAGATTTTGACAACAATGGATATAAGGGTCAATACCTGCATACATGACTTGTATACTTGACCAATACACCTAACCTGTATATTTAACCCATATACTTGACCTATATTATAATTTTATATGTTAATTTTGTAATATAATGTTTTGAAATTAAAATGTCTATGTTTAATTTTTTTCTTTTCTTCTAGCAGTGAAGTTTTTACTAAAGGAAAATCATATGGATTTTTGTTTGTATTTCTTTTGTTATTGTAACATTGTATATATAAACTTGTGTATGTGTGAGTATATATATTCATATATTTTGTTTTATACATAAACTTATATTATATGTATGAATTTATAATTATATATTAATTTATGTATTTTTAGTATAAACTTGTATTATATGTGTGTGTGACACGGACTATTTGAAATGCTAGAAATGAAAAGAAATTTAATGGTGATACAGTAAAGACATACCGGTAGGGGACAAAAACAGAGGAAAGGAAAGACCTTTTCTTATGTTAGACTGAATCATTACCTTAAGGGCATGTATTCGCAAATGAATTACTTTATAATGGGTAATTAGAATTTGGTTAAAAGTTAATAATTGAATTGGGCGATTAATAATTTTTTAATTTTGTATATAAATTTAAATACACTTTATATTTATTAAATAAAGTTTTCTCATAAAA